ATCGACGTCGTGGGTAAGGCAATAAACTGCATTTGCGTCGTGGGTAAGGCAATAAACTAACATCTGCGTTCTGGGAAAGAGGATAAGCTACATCCTCGTCCTGGGTAAGACAATAAACTACATCCGCGTCCTGAGTAAGACAATAAACTACATCCGCGTCCTGAGTAAGACAATAAACTGCATCCGCGTCCTGGATAAGACAATAAACTACATCCGCGTCCTGAGTAAGACAGTAAACTACATCCGCGTCCTGGATAAGACAATAAACTACATCCGCGTTCTGAGTAAGACAATAAACTACATCCGCGCCCTGGATATGACAATAAACTACATCCGAGTCCTGGGTAAGACAATAAACTACAACCGCGTCTTGGGTATGACGACAAACTACATCCACGTCCTGAGTAAGACAATAAACTACATCCGCGTCCTGGATAAGACAATAAACTACATCCGCGTCCTGAGTAAGACAATAAACTACATCCGCGTCCTGGATAAGACAATAAACTCCATCCGCGTCCTGAGTAAGACAGTAAACTACATCCGCGTCCTGGATAAGACAATAAACTACACCCGCGTCCTGAGTAAGACAATAAACTACATCCGCGTCCTGGATAAGACAATAAACTACATCCGCGTCCTGGGTAAGACAATAAACTACAACCGCGTCTTGGGTATGACGACAAACTACATCCACGTCCTGAGTAAGACAATAAACTACACCCGCGTCCTGGATAAGACAATAAACTACATCCACGTCCTGAGTAAGACAATAAACTACATCCGCGTCCTGGATAAGACAATAAACTACATCCGCGTCCTGGGTAAGACAATAAACTACAACCGCGTCTTGGGTATGATGACAAACTACATCCACGTCCTGAGTAAGACAATAAACTACATCCGCGTCCTGGATAAGACAATAAACTACACCCGCGTCCTGGATAAGACAATAAACTACATCCGCGTCCTGAGTAAGACAATAAACTACATCCTTGTCCTGGATAAGACAATAAACTACATCCGCGTCCTGGATAAGACAATAAACTACATCTGCGTCCTGGGTATGACGATAAACTACATCCGCGTCCTGGGTAAGACAAACTACATCCAACAGCAAGCACTCTGATCAGTAGGTTTTGAGGAGCGTCGAACCACCTCTTAATTGCTGGTATTTCCACGTTCACCATGACCCGAGGTGGTAGCAGCTGTTAGGGTCACAGCTTTGGGCAAATAGTTAACACCCAAACTGGGGTCCAAACACTATGAAAGTGTAAAAATAGGTTTTAATACCAGCAATATATTTGTGAAGAAAAAATATTACCAGCAATACATTACCAGCAATACATTTTTGAAGAAAAAATGATATTACCAGCAATACATTGTTGAAGGAAAAATAATACCAGCAATACATTTTTGAAAAAAAAATATTACCATCAATAGAAGTCTTAGCATTAAATAACCCATTGAGGTTGATATGCCGTAAAACAGAAAAAACCAAATCAAACAATCTGAATTTAAAAAAAAAAAATCGGTTGATGTGTTAGCGGGAGGTTTTACGGTGGGCAATCTGAATTTATGCAAATATTTCCCTGATCCCAAGCAGCCTTAGCCAATGTGGTTGGTCGCCTGACGTGCTTTGTCTTTGCGTAAGAAAATACAATGTTTGAAAACTGAATCCAGTGGCCAAACGTCCGCGGTGTGGTCCGTTCGAGAATGGTCGCGTTGGTCGCCGTGGCACAAGCGGACCACGGCTTGGCATTCTAGGGCCTGTACCGTATGACGCGCACCTCTTTTTATGTGATAAAATACAATAGACAAAGTTCGAAAACTAAGTGAATTCGACACGATTCTCATGTATCGGACTCGTTACAGGTGCCAGCGGACGCCTGTTGTTCGACCGCCCGATGCGCGGTGGTTTGTGTTGACACGAAAGAACGCACTGCGATGGAAATTCTTAATTCCCGGGAGTTGCGCAATCTGTCGCAGGCGGAGATAGCGGAAGTAATACGGTTATTTTGGAACAAAACAGCTTTGGCACGAGCCCATGTTCATATAGTGTGTCATCCATATCAACAAATCCATAATCCATATTTTGTCCATGGAATAAATCTACAAAGTGACTAGTAAGTATTCCTTACAAGATTATCAAGTGCACCTGTCGATCTCCTTGCCCATAAAAATATATTTTCTCTTTCACTGCGTTGTAGAGATACAGAACGGATGTGCAACGTCCTAAGTGACCTGGAGGATCCCGTGTCAGTCAGATGGTGATAGTTTAGTTATTGCTAAGATCTCGAGGGAGAAAAATGTTGTGGCCAGTGTCAGTTTGCAAATACATGCGTCCTAAATATGTAAACCCCCCCGCCCCCAAAAAAAAAACATCAGGGCTGTGTCGTGTCCCTTCTAGGAACTTTACAAGTAAGACTTGTTTATTCATCCCTTCATATATTGCGTAGTTTTTTCATGCATGTATCATTTTTTCTGTTTTGAACAAAAT